TGGATTGAAGATAACCATCATCATCATCATCATCAAAACCCACCCATCATTTTACCAAAGTTACAAGCAATTAATTCTATTGTGCAAACAATGGCTCTGTTGCGTGCAATGGCGGCCTTCATGGCAATGATGTTCTTGTTGGGGCCTCCTCATGCGGCGGCGGCGACCAAGGCGAATATGGTGACGGTTCTGAGCGTGGACGGGGGAGGAATAAGGGGGATCATCCCGGGCACCATCCTGGCGTTTCTCGAATCCAAACTCCAGGAGCTGGACGGCCCCAACGCCAGGATCGCCGACTATTTCGACGTGGTGGCCGGAACCAGCACCGGTGGGCTGGTCACCACCATGATCACCGCTCCCAACAAGGACAACCGCCCCCTCTACGACGCCAAGGACATCACCCCTTTTTACAAGGACAACGGCCCCAAGATATTCCCTCTCATAACGTAATCATCATTTTTTTTGAAACTCAATTATTTAATTAATTAATTTAACTTTGATTGATATATGACGTCTTGATTAGGGCCGCCTCTAATATAACATGTTTGGTTTGGGTTTGGATTTGGGTTTGTGAAGCCGGAACAACTTGAACTTACTGGCGGGGCCAAAGTACGACGGGAAGTATCTGAAATCACTGGTGAGGGGATTGCTTGGGAACACGACGATGAACCAAACGCTGACTTACACCGTCATTCCTACTTTTGACATCAAGCGTTTGCAGCCCATCATTTTCACCACCTCCGATGTACGTATCTTCCTATCTATATACACACACACACACATATTGCCGGTGTTTCATTTGCAAAATTGATAAGACTTGAAGAAATTCATCTGGTGCTTGGTTGCAGGCAAAAGCAAATCCGGCGAAGAATGCACTACTCTCCGACATATGTCTGAGTACGTCGGCGGCACCGACGTTCTTCCCGCCTTACTATTTCGAGACCAGAAACTCAAGTGGAGGCGTAAATAGCTTTAATCTCGTTGATGGCGGACTTGCTGCCAACAATCCGGTGAGAAGGACTACTCCTTATCAATGCTTTTTTTTTTATTTTCCCTTTTCTGTCAAAAGACTCGACTAAAAATGTCGGTAACGAAAAACCAGAGCAAAATATAGATCTTTCTATCCTCAAAGGGCAATACTAGGGGACACTAAATAAGGTGTCCCATTTTTCTGTGTTGGTTTAGTGTACAAATGAGATACCTATGTTGGTGTTTCCCTAGCATTAGTTGCCCCCACAAGGACAACTAGGGTACCCCACAAGGACAACTGGGGCAAAGGATAGGGTCGTTAGGAATGAACGTTTAGTAGAAATCTTGACAAACGAGGTGAATCAGAATTCGCTTTGATACCATAATAGTAGTAGAATTCAGGATGAGGCAAAAGTTATTAGATTAGGTCATAAGATATTTAAGTCGAATCATATTAAAAGAGTGAATTTAATCTACCCTGTATAATTTAGTTCATGTCAATAATTTATATACCGATTAATTTTTCTCTCTAATCTCCGATGTGAGACGCTTCAATTTACTTTCTAGATCAAATCAATCAAACACATTTCATGTGGGCTAATTATTGTGTAAGTTGAGGTGGTGTGAGAGTGTGAGACTAAGTACAATATCAACTATAAAATGAATAAATTATACACTCACTATACATATGTGGTCTTGTTCTAATTAATATACTCATCAAAAACTGTTCAAAGTTGAATTGGTGATCTCTAAATCAATTATATATAATGTCTTGATGACTTAATTGGTTGAATTTGTAACAACAGACAATGATGGCCATAACCCTTCTCTCAAAGGAGATGATGGCGGGGAACTTCCAGTTCGAGAACATGGAGAGGGTTGACACCAAAAGAATGTTGGTCCTATCACTGGGGACGGGGACAGCGAAGAACGAAGAGAAGTATACATCCGCGGCGGCCTCCACCTGGGGCTCCCTCGCCTGGGTCTTCAACAACGGCCGGACTCCATTGATAGACATCTACGGAGCTGCCAGTGCTGATATGGTCGACATTCATGTTTCCACCCTATTCCAATCCCTCCGCGACGAGAAAAACTATCTTAGAATTCAGGTAATGGCAATGCTAAGGGTACACCAAAATGGGGTATCCTATTTGTACACCAAACATCCCACAGACATTGAGTGTGAGTGTATGTGTGTATGGTTGGTGTACGTCTAGGTTAATTCTTCAGGTATAATATGTGTCTTGGAAAAGAACAAACTTGTTACAACATTTGTTATGTTTGGACAGGATGACATGCTCACAGGGTCGACATCATCGGTTGACGATGCGAGTGCGAAAAACATGGACCTTCTGGAACAGATTGGTAACAATCTGCTGAAGAAATCAGTTTCGAGGGTGAATTTGGACAGCGGAAGATATGAAGCGGTTCAAGGGGAGGGCACCAATGAAGACGCTCTCACCCGCTTCGCCAAGCTGCTTTCGGATGAAAAGAAGTATAGAAAAAGTGGATAAAATTAAATCACGAAGAAACTTATTAGAATGGATTGCCCAAAAAGAAGAAGCAAACAGATAAATCTGTCAAACTGAATGTTTTGCTCTATGAGTGAATAAAATAGAGAGTGATTACCTAATTAAACGTGCTTTGATCCTTTGAATAAATAGGTAGGGATGATGATGATAAGGCTTGGGTTTTGATTTAGTTCTGATTCAAATCTAATTTAAACAAATTAAATCAAAGATGGGATAAAACTATTTTTTATTCAAATTCAAATATTTTAGTGTCAAGTCAATTAAATTGGATTGGGGTGGGTGAGACATAAAATGCTGGTGTTGCTTTAATTACTACTCCTTAATGAATACTCCGTATTATAGTTGGCCGATAAGATATAGATGGTGTTAATGTTAATTTATTGATATTGATTGTTTTGACCAATAGATCCACCGTCTAATCAATTCTAGAAAAAAGTTAAAATTGTTATTTAATACTCCTTTCTTCAAGAAATAATTTTTCATTTGATTTTTTATAACATTTAATTTATTAATATCTATATTTATAGAAGAAAATATTTTATGAAGATTTAATATTTCAAAACTACTTTTCATAAGGAAGTTATTAATATTATATTTATATCGAAACACAATACTCCGTATATTCTTTCTATGTATTGATGTTAGAATTTTCAAATTTTGACGAATAAAAATTAAATGAAAAAATCATTTCCGGATGGGGAGAGTAATCCGTTTTTCAACTCTAAAAAAGATCAAGTCAATATTTATTCAATTTCAAACATTTTAGTTTAAATTACAACTAATTTCAATGCGGTTTTACTAAGAAAGTCAACACTATTTTCTTAACAATCATTTAAACCACTAAACCTTTTTATTTATAAAAAAAGCTTATTTTGCATGCATTATGTTCAACTTGCAAAACACATGCATTATGTTGACGAGGAATTTCCGTAAATAGCACTAAAACATAATGACTTTCCCCAAATAGCACTACATGTGTTTTTCTTCCCAATGTAGCACTTTTAGTCATTATCCATTAGTCATTATTCAAGTAAATATTTGCCATCTGAGGTCATTATGGACATTATGAAGTGCTATTTAGGGAATAAAACAATTTAAGTGCTACTTAGAGAAATGACTTAGGTTTTAGTGCTATTTAGTGCAAATATTTCTTATGTTGACTACCACCTTTAACTTACATAGTACTCCGTATTGAGTAATTTTTTTCGAGAGCTATTACAATATTTGTTTATACGGAGTAGAAAAATGATAAACTCCATCCCCATGGTTTCCTCAAAAATAAATTAGACTTTGATCACAGATTGGTGAAAATTGTTTATAATTTGAGAGACGGTGAGGACTACAACTTAGAAAAATCAATCTGCTCCATATAATTAAATACGGAGGGTGACTCCTTGGAAGATTATTGATTAAAATGTTTAAACTTGGACAGAATAAAATGGAACAATCAAATGAGAAAATTGAAATTTGTCAGTTTATTGCAAGCGTGGAAAATTTCAGCATTTGCTAGGAGTCACATAACTCACTACCAGTCTAACATTAGCATGGACAATTTGGGCATTGTTAACCAGGTTTGACTATTTATTTGTCTTTCATTGTATTAACTGTTTTGGAGATACTAAATTTTAAATCAGAGGATAAGAAGTAACTGATATTTAGAAAATTATTTTTAAGGAAAAATATTTTAGTAGGTGATTTCAAGATCAAAGGCTCAAAGGGACTTTTAAATAGCTTCAATCTCATTGTTGGTGGTTTTGATGCCAATAATCCAGTGAGAATTCCTCCTCAGATATACTTCCCTATACTCTTCTCAGTTTTTTGTTTTTTTTTTGTTTTGTTTTGTTTTTTGTATTGTTTTGGGGAGGGGGTGGGTGTCTGCCTAGGTTGCCTTAAGAGTTGAGACAACATGTATCTGAACCTGTTATATGCCTTTGTATGACAGACAATGGTGCCCATAACTCTTAAAACAAAGTAGGGTGACTTTCAATTTGAGCATATGGAGAGAATTGGCACAAAGGGAATTTGTTGGTTTTATCACTGGGGACCGGGAAAGCAAAGACCGAAGAGGGGCATATGATTCGAAGGAGGAATATTATGCTCACATGAACAAACATCATCAGTTGATGATGCAAGTACAGAAGACATGGAGATGCTTGAAAAGATTGGTAACTAATGATCTATTGAAGAAGTTGGTTTCTAGTGTGAGTGAATCTAGACATGATGCAGTTCAAGGGGAGGGGGCACCAATGGAGAAACGCTCTCACTCGCTTCGCTAAGTTGCTTTCAAATGAAAATAAGTATCGCAAAAAAAAAAAAAACAACCAAATTCATTATATTCCACAAACTTGTTTCATTTACCATTCATGTACGTATATCTCAGATATATATATATATATATATATATATATATATATTTTCCCAAAAGAAAAATGTTGGATGAAAGCAGAAGTGTATGCAAAAATACACACAGGGGGTGGGGTGATGATGATATTTAACAAAAAAAAAACAAGTCTTCTTAAATTTGCAACATCGCGTAATCAACTTACTCCACCCCTTGCAGCTTTACGTTCAGTCAAAAATTTCCGTTCAAGCATTGGCATTTGAACATTCGCAAAACCAGAAAAGACAGATTTTGGGATAACAGCCTGCGAATAAGCGATGTTCGTGAGGGACTAATACCCAGTTTTTATTTGCAACTTCTGAATGTAAGCATCCACTTACCTTACCATCGTTGAGGAATGAAGCTACTGGAACATTTTCGAGTACCCTTTCCTCTCCTGATTTTGTCTATCAGTAATCTGTTAGAAGGAACGCAACATAGTGAGATACATATACAAAATTCCAGTAAAATAGAACGAAAGGATGTTGTAGATAGCACTGGCCTTCTTCCTCACAGCAGCAAGCTCCTTCTTTATACCACCTGAAAAAAAACAGGGAAATCGAATCGGATCATTGCTTACTGGATTTTGATGAAAGGAATCCTAAAGACACTCACTGTCGTTGGGCTCCAACTCCAAAGCTTTGGTAAAGCTCTCAGCTGCTGCATCTATGGCCTTCAGCCCCACGTATGCCTGAAAATTAGTAAATACACCATTCGAAGATTTAGACCAACATCTTCACTTAACAGCTAAACTATTGTCCCAATGCTGGCGGCTGGGAGGATTACCAACCTGCCCTTGGCGATAAAAAGCTTTTGGGTTGTCCTTAACATCAGAAATGGAAGAGTTAGCATCAAACAGTGCTCCTTCAAAATCTCCAAGCTTACATTTACATGCCTAAGAAACAAGCAGATTTTATCAAAACATCATAATAACAGGATAAAGGAGCAAATACAGCTGCAATCAAGAGAAGAGGTGAATAACTTACAGAGCAATTTGAGAATATGTTGGACCTCATTTTCCTCAAGAACTCGGCACTCACTGCAGTCCGATCAAAGATTCAAAACAAGATTAGTAATGATAAAGAGTGCAGAGAACAAATGTCATGAACCAAAAATATATCAACTCGCCTTCATCAATCCCACTCTTCTCCCAGCTAATGTCCAAGTATCGTATAGCCTTGTAGTACTTTCTTATAGCCATTTTATAGTCTTGTTTCTACGTGGGGAGAACATGAAAGAAATATCAGGAATACTAATAATCATACGAATAAAAAGGTTGGTTTAGGCTCTATCAACCATCCAAAAACGACCACATAAAAACAAACAACCAAACCATAATAGCTCAAGTTAAACAAGGGATAAAAACACAGGGACAAGAACAACAGAACATCATCCCACAGGTGACTGGGAAATGAAAAGTACTCCGTAGTATATAAGAACCTTGAAGTGTGCATTCCCAAAATCTTTGATACTTCCAGTAGTAGAAATCCACCAAGAAACATCATCTGGTTTCACATCAAGATCGAGTGGCCAGTCAGGAAAAGTGTCACCATCTTTGAAATAGTTACACGTCCCATCGTCCTCCCCTTCCGGGATTTCGCCGCAATCCACGATGCACACCTCAAGATCTGGACAGCCCATTTCCCCAACGGGCACCCGTTCGATATTCCGGACCAACCCCAGTCCTCTCACCACCTTCCCAAACACCACGTTCTTCCCGTTGAGATGAGACTGTTGGGTTGTGGAAATGAAGAACTGAGAGCCATTCGTGTCTGGGCCAGCATTGGCCATGGACACCGTCCCTTTCCGGTCGTGTTTCAGCTCGAAGTTCTCGTCTTCAAATGTCGGCCCGTAAATGGACTCTCCGCCGGTTTCGTTCCCGGCGGAAACATCGCCGCCCTGTATCATTGACCCTCTCATGATACGATGGAAGCAAGTTCCCTGAGAAATTCAAAAAACAAAATTGACAAGAGAAGGTCGATTAAACCAAATAATCAGAACCGTGTTTTTTCACGAAATCGAGATTGATGGAGGAGATACCTTGTAATGGAGGGCGACGCCGGTGTGAGGGCTGACGCCGCGCTCGCCGGTACAGAGAGCACGGAAGTTCTCGGCTGTTTTGGGAACGACATTCTTGTAAAGTTCAACAACAATCCTGCCTTGCAGCTCTCCCCCAATGCTTATGTCCAAGAAGCACCTTGGGTTCGCCATCGCCGATTTGCAGGCGGATGCAGAGGAAAGGACAAAACCCAAAACCCAAAGAAGATGAGAGAAGGAGAGAGTGGTGTGGTCTGGCGTGGGCTGGGCTGTGAAATGAAATAAAGCTGGGCGCAGAGACGGTTACGGTATGATGACAAAAATCTACGGCGGTACTATTTGATTCATTCCGTCAAAAAAAGGTCAAAAACTGTCAAAACTTAAATCGGATTCATTTCCGGATAGCAATCTAATCTTGAGTCATACTAGCATAGAATAGACCAACCCATTTATTTGTTGGACACCCTGGTTTATTGATCAATCATCATTCAAATTTTAACTAGTTTTTGAAATAATTTCAAACTTTAATCCATTTATTCAATAATCTATCACAAACTTATCTCGTTAGGTCCGAGTTCAATGACAATAACATAAAATAATGTCACAAAAATAGTCTTATTTTACTCATATCTAAAAGTAAAAAATTCTTTATAGAAGACTTCAATTCCAACAATACATCCACTTATGCTCCCGTCGTAGTTAAATTCATCATTTTTTTAGTTAAAATTAAAACTAACTTATGTCAACTTATGTTAATTTCAATTAAATCCACTTAGAGTTTGTTCTTTTCTACTTGTGTTTAGTTAAGGTTTTCAATCTGTAGTTTGGATTATCACTAATATTAACTCGGTCCGGTTAATCTAAAACAATGAACTTTTATTAATTTTTATGGGAAACAAATTGACATACATTTTAAGAATTATAAATAGAAAAGTATTGTCTAAAATCCACGATTAATTCTTCAACTTTATGATCTATGCACGATTTATAATTCAAATTTCAAAAATCTAAAAATAGTCCTTCAAGTATTCATAACACTCCACATGTAGTCCTTCAAGTTTCAAAAAATCATAAGTAGTCCTTCAAGTATTCATCAATACTTAAAATGCAAGTTTTTTACGGTACACGTTAAAAGAGAAAACGGATTACTACTTTCTTTTATATAACTTCCACCACGGATTAGTACATACCCTTTAGAAAAACGCATATAAAAAAGTACAAGGAACATTATAGACACTATCCCCATTTACAAGTATATTACGGAGTACATTATAACGTGAAAGCTGTAAATATGTGACATAATTTTAAGGAATTATTATACCCTTGTGTTTACTATTAAGTATAAAGTTTTAATATAAACTTTATATATTTAAAAACTATATAAAAAATTCTACAAAACAAGTGATGACATAATTATATTTTACCCCCATACAAAATGAGTAGTGAAAAATAAACAAATAAAGTAAATAAAGTTTAACTGCATGAATAGTGAACGAGAAGAACATTTTTCGACAGAGAAAGTACTAAATAAAGCAGTGTGTACAACACGTAATTTTTGTAAATTTCAAAGGTCGTCATATATCAAATTGTTGAAAACAAAATTTAGATTTTCATTAGAACTATACATAAAAAATGCTTGAATTTATTGGACTAAACATGGAAAATTCAGTGTGAACAAATGGTCTACCTCATCAGTAACTTATTGTTCATGAAAATGGTTCCTGCAAGGCAAGCTATAAAAGCAAAGCTAGAAAGAAAGCTCACAAGCGCCCAAGTTTTTCAACAAGCCCATTCTCTATTTCAACTCTCTTCTTCATCAGCAAACCATACTTAGCACCAAGTGTATCATCATCCCTTGCTTTCACTGCGAGTTTACAGCTGAGTGAAGTCTTCTCCATCTTCCCCGCGTACATGCTCGCAATGGGCACAAAGCTTCCCTTCTTTTGGCACAGCCAAGCATGAGCAGCCCTTAAAGCGCCCCCTAGTGAGGCCGAGTCTGTTCCAGAAATGTTTTTTTTTTTAAACCCTTTCTTTCGATTGGTCAATGACAGAAACTAAAGACCACAAAAAGTGAAACCACAGCGCGAACCTGGCCTTTGCACCGTATAAACGTCACACCCAAAAATGGATGCCACCATGCTTAAAATGGCAGCATTGGCAGAAGCTCCACCAGTGGCGATCATTCGCTTGGGAGGAGAAGGGAGGCCGAATCTCTCAGCATGAGCTCTTATAGAAAGCAATTGCCCCTCAATTACGGCGCGAACCTGGAAGTATATTTCTATTCTCAATATTAAGGATGGATTATTCTAGAACAGACCATCGAGTTCTGGGCTAGAAGTTACATAGTAGAATGTTAAAAGAATTGGCTTCAAACTAAACATGGTACTGACCTCAGAAGCAGGATCAAACTCTTGCACTTCACGTTCTTCCACACCATCAAGTGTATCTCCCGTGAAATTATCCAAAACGTAGCGGTGATATCCAACTATTCACAAATCAACTTCATTGTATAATTATTTTCTCTCAACCAGAAAAATATGTGATAGAATCCATCCTACTGATTAGCTAATCCAACTCATGGTTTTTTAAATTCTACTCCGTAAGTTGCTATTTCTCTTCAGTATTTCAATGTGTTATGCTTAAAAATATAATTGTGTTCCTCTGTCTTGAGCTGGAGTTCTCTTGGAAACAGCCTCTCTGGACACACATTTGTGGGAATTTCACTCGTCTGTTATTGTTCGTGTTATTGTTGTTGTTGTACTTTTAACAATATACTCCGGTATATAACTAGACGGTTATAAATTTATCCAGTTTTAGATTTCGTTCGCCTCCCAAGACTGTACATTCGACTGAACTATAATACCGAATAACTGAGCTTACCTGGAAGAGGAGGAAGTATCTCATGCTCTTTATAATAAAAGCCTAACTTGCCACCTGTGGAAGTGCAATATACCATAAATTGCATCAAACCAACAAAGCATAAGAAGTGATTGTGGGGATTTTTATTTTTTTTTGCTAACCGTTCAGAGGAGGTGTTTGCTCTAGATGTTTATTGAAGACGTCCCAAGATTTTTGTGCACACCTATTACGTATATCTATGGAGGCATGTCAACAATCAAACATGGAACAATGATTGGATAATTTCAGCTCATACTCATATGCTAAGGTAGATTTAATATCCATATGTACCTTCGCGAGTGAGTGAACCATTCTTGTAGCACAACATTACCATGTAACCTTGTGTATCCACGGGATTAGGAAAGACATGCCCTTCTAAGCTGGGCTTGTGATCACTGGTGATTCCAAATACCTAACCGAACAATGATTAAGAATATCATTCAAAATTTCAATATTACCCTAGTCAAACTCTCCAATATGGCTGCATTGAGGGCAAAGATGACGAAAACAAGGGGTAAAAAGAAGCTTACCGTGTCACTCGTGCCGAGGCTAATTGCCAGATCACCAGGAGTGTTAAGAGTCAAACCTAGGTTTGCAACATCATTTGATCGTCACTTTTTTTTTTACGAATATGAAATTCAGAAAATTTGAAGTTTAAAGAAATCTTCACCTGCGAGGCTGTTTGGATTATCTCCAGACCAATTAATAACCAAACAGTCCTTGCTAAAGTGATACCTACATTATATTCAATTAAAAGTGCCATAGTCAATGTCAAGTTAAGACGCTTCGTTGAGTCATCCCACATCTATTGATTATCCAAAAATAAAAAATAAAAAAATATAAACCAAAATAAAGGAATCTGGAAAAATCCTCCAATTAGGTTGAGGATAGAATCAATGCTTAAATACCTTTAACATGGAAGGTTCAATGTAGAGTACTAACTTTTAAGGTGCTTCAAATGTAGTGGCCAATATATATAGTCATCAATAGACTTAAATAGCATACGTCAACAAACACAAAAAAATAGTTGGGGTTTGCTAGGGGTACCCCAAGTTGGTGTACACCAGCTTCTGCGAGACACACACAGACACCCACGGTCTGTGTTTCACACCCATTGTCTGTATTCGACACCCAGTGTCTGTGTATGTCTATGAGAAGTTGGTGTACAGCAGGGGTACACCAACTTACCAACTTGAGTACCTAGGTTTTTCCAAAATAGTTTGCATGACACTTAGACACTAACCTCTCCACAAAATAAGGAGCAATGTAACCTGCAACAGCATATGCAGGGGCTAACTTCCCCAACTTTTCTTCCAAATCCGGTGCCGTAGCCTATATACCAAAAAAAATTGTCATTGAAGGGCATCCATTCATTATTTCTCAAGTTGTAGAAAGACTTTCTAGAAGTTTCTACAGACAAACCTCAAGAACTGGCTTTGACCAAGCCCTCTGCTTAATATCCATCAAATTCATCCCAGCCCCATCAGTGTGATCTATGGAAGCATAACCCCCAATAAACAGGGACGCCATGAAAGAGCTAACAAGTGAGATTCTTTCGGTGTTCTTATAGACATCAGGGTGTTCCTGAAATACCCTCCTTATTTGTGGGCCAGTGAACCTCTCGTACGCACGAGAACCGGTTATTCTAGACAACTCCATAGGACCTCCAACCGCTTTCTCGATTTCCTTGCACTGCTTTGTCGTGCTACTATCCATCCATATGGGAGACTCTTTGGTAGAAAAAGCTTCACTCAGCTGCTCAACCAGTGGCTTCTTGGGATCCAATGATGACAATACTCCACCGCTCCCTTTCTTCCAATACACACTACCGTGTTGCTGCCCACTGCCCGAAACAGCAGCGACCTTCCCAAAATCAAACTTGGACTCCTCAAGTCTGCAGAGGACAAGTTCCAAAGCTTCCACCCACATTAATGTGGGTGAAACTATTCTCCCACTGATCGTGTGGTCCCGATAAACCCCATCTTTGGTTTTGTAATGTGGCAATTCAGAGTCAAAATTAACCATCTCTGTTGCTACAATGTTTAGATTGGCATCTAGCACACTCACTTTCATTGACCTAAAAATACCAAACCACGAGTCCCATTTCACATAAATTCTCAAGTTTTAAGATGGAATCCTGAACCCCAATATAAATTGTCTAACATTCAAATAATAATCAAGCAAATGAACACACAATCGTTTTGCTCTTAGTATCGGATTACATTCTTTTGGAATTAGGATGAAACCCAAATTCAATTCGTACAAATCTGAACATATCAGAGTTTTCTTATTAAATAATTTTGTAAAAACTTCAACCTGTGATCAAGAATTTATTAAATGGCTGATAAAGTTTCAATACAAGGTCAATCACAACCTGTGATCGACATTTTTTTTAATAAGAATGATGATGAAGAAAGGAAGAGTGACTCACTGAGTTGAACTATCAAAGCCCAGAAACAGAGCATCACGGGGGAGTGTTGGGGCCTCCATTGTCATCAATCGTCAAGATTTTGAGAAAATCCTTATGAGTGAGTGGCTGGTTGAAGATTTTAATGCCAACAAAAAACGTTAAATTTTGGATTAGATTAAGGAGATATCTGTGCTGGATAAGATCATGCTTAAAATACGAACTATAACTCCGTATTATCCAATTCCGCTTTTAAATATGTGCAATTTTAAATTTGTAAACCAGAGTCAACAGATATGGAATCTCAATTTCGACCGGTGCTCCCTTCTCCCTCAAAAAAACTATGTCCCAAAAAATTATTTGGGACTATCTTCCATTTTTGTTAATTGCTCTCATATCTGATAATATCTGAAATATACACTTTGATATTCCCAATTTTTTATAAAAACTCTAAGGTCTTAGACCATCTCCAGTGCATAAGGTATAAAGTGGTAGTGCAAAATCAATTTTACACTATCAATAGTGGTATACACACCCAATTTTTAATAACTACTTTAATCATATCTTTTATATAACACACATTTTTAATTTTTTTATTATTCTAAGTTATTTATTCATAATACTTATTTTAATTCATAGTTTAATTATTAGAATGGAGAATGTCACTTAGGAATAAAATTACAATATGTAAAAGAAATAGAATTGACTCACAATAAATCAAGAAATGAATTAACAAAAGGACGAATTTGAAGCAAATTGAGAAGAAGAGAGGGAAATTAAAAAAGAGAGAGGAAAAGGATGATCAATAGTGCCCTTGTAGAAATAGGAGGTGGGAGTGGTGTTTTGGACTATATTGTATTTTACCATTAGATATACACAATCCATTGGAGAGGGATAATATTAATAGTAAATGGCTGATAATGTATTCTAAGAATCTTTAAAATTTATGATAATGTACTCTAAGAAAACATTTTATCTATTTGGCTGTTAGGATTAAAAGTCTCATTACTTTGACAAATACTAAATTTTACCTTGACAATCATTCCTTTATTAAATTTAAATTAAAAATTTAATTTGTCAAGGTAAATGAACTTTTAGTCGTAATGTCTAAATAAACGGGATTTACTCTCTGATACAATATGACAAATTTTAAAGAACCCGGAATATATTTTGGATAATGTGAGACTTGAATTGATATTACAAGAAAATTATAGTTATCCCGGAGTATATTTCAAATAATGTATGATCTGCGGGTTATTACCTGAAAATTGAGGGTATTTCAGAGTAATTTTATGTATAAATACCTCTATAAAACTTTTCATGCGTCTATAAATGGAATGAACGAGGGTTATAGGCGCACCTAAATAGTTAATGCATAAATTATAAAATCATACTACAAATACTAAAATATACTATACCGTGTTAGAATATTGAAATCACACTTAAATCACTAGTTTGAGGATTGAACGTTCTCTGTAAGTATATATAACCTTCCATTTAATTTGGATGAGTAGTTTTGGTGACGTTGGAGCACAAAGTCTTTGATAGAAGTGTAGGATCATTTTTCTAGCACCCATCCTGGGACTACTCCCGTTCTAGCACGCTTAACCACAGATTTCTGAAGTTAAAGAGGTGCCAAATGCTTTCTAAAACCAATTGGTGATAGGAAGGTGGACACTTTATATTTAACCACATCTCTCTGTAGCCTCAAGCCGAGGTAGATTCCTATAGGGCACCCCCTATATTTCACTACGGCAATGCGGAGCCCCACTACTAGCGGTGGATGGACAGGAGGGGCTTCGCAAGATACACGACTCATGTACCTCGTCAGGTTGGGCTGTCAATACCCGATACCGTGCTAAGCATAGTAGCGAATTCATAAGGGTGATCGATGGTCCCCCATAAGACCAACAAGAAGCTATAGCCTAATTTATTTTACAGACTATGATAAATAATCTTCATATTTTCTTTCTTTCTACTCAATCCGTTCCATAAAATCCTTCTCTTTTCATTTTTTCCAATTCTCTAAAACACTTCCACTTTCTATTAAAAACCACTTTTACCCCTGTTTTTTCATAGACTACCTATCACATCATATTTTTTTACTAATAACTAAACTATCACATCTTATTTTTACTCATTACATCAGTGACAAAACTAAAAAGTCAAATAAAATTATATTTTCTTTATTTTGGTCTAAATTTAAAATAAGAAATGTTTAAAAGAACGATGGGAGTATTTAATACGGAGTATCAAGTAAAATCAATCTGATAGGCAAAACAAAAAAAAATAAATCTGATAGACAATAAATTTGGACGCATGGAGAAGGGGACAGATCGAATGAATGAAATTGTGGATTATAAGGGCGGGGTCCAATATGTTGAAAATAAATAAACCCATACTGGCCCACATTAATATTTCACGATTGAACGAATATGAAATTTAGAAAAATAGTGAAATTATGTACTGTATTCTTTTAACATTTTCTATTTTGATTAATGAGAGAAATAAGAATGTATATTTCACGATTGAACGAATATGAAATAAGAATGTATATTGGTATTATATTATTATTATTATATATTATTATTATTGTTATTGTTATTATTATTATTATTGTTATTATTATTAGTATTATTATTATAAAATGGATTTATATAAGGTTATAAGAGCATGCGCAGCGGCGAGGCATTTGCCTCGCTCGCTACGCCACATCAGCTTCCTCGCCAATTTGCCTCGCGTGTCTTCAGCCTCCCTCCACGCCAAGCGTGTGAGGCGCGAGGCATCTTCAATTTTTTTTTATTTTTTTTATTTTTTTTAAAGAAATAAATTTAAAAAAAAAAATCTATATAAAAAAAGATAAATGAAATAATTTTTAATAATTAAAATGCATTAGAAAAACATAAATATTGACAAAAACAATGATTTGTCACTGCACGAGATGCCTCCTCACTCACTTGCCACAGACTGACTAGATTATTTTTATTGATTGAAATGTGTCACGTCAACGTAGGGCATTTCATTTCGTTACTTGCCATTACCCGTGCTCTAAGATATGTCTATTTCGTATGATGATGAGAAGGTTTCTTACATGCATTTATAATTTAAAATTTTAAAGAAATACTTAAACTAATGGCAAAATTGAAAGAATACGCTAACATGACTCGAAAAACTAGCCGTGCATGACCCAATAACTTAAAAGTTCAACAATAACATTTAATTTTTTTTCCAAAATATAAACTCTAAATCATTGCCAAACAGGTCGTATGAACCAGTGCCATGGTGAAATTTGAATAAACATAATTAATTATATTACTCCGTAGTTAATTAGGAATCACAACAGCGGCGAGAGTAGCAGTCGTCGTCGTCATCGGAGCAAAAGATATTCTTGAAACAACACTCCATGCATTCGTATAACCATGAACAACTGCATATATGCATCCATCTCAAATTCATCATCTCCTTCAACATTATTTTAATTAACTTTCATGTGAAGAAAAAGAAATAATGAAATACCTTTCTCTAGAATATTTGTCTGATTTTAACTTTACAAGACATGCATGTCAAAAAATGACTCGACATGTTTTTGACATGAGACCAAATCTGAAAATACTGATCAAGTTTTGATGAAGGTTTTGTTTGCTGAAATCGAAGTTGACTAAATCCGAAATGACCTGCTAAAAATGGGTCAAACCCTACCGAATCTAAACCTGACTTGACCAACCTGGTAATATAAAATTTTTTCAAATCATATACGGAGTACTTTAATATGAAATATAATGTTATAAAAATAATATATTAATCATATTTGTTTTTTTATTACTAGTTTTTAATGTATAAATTTATGGGGAAGAAACTAATTAATTAGACAATTCAAAATTTCCGTTGGATGTAAATGTCCATGTGTACTCGTCCAAGTGTGACTTTTTAAAGTTAATTCGGTTAAAATAATAATTATGATGTACGGAGTGCATTGGTACAAAAATGATTTCCTTAGACATCATATTTATCATGTAAGCTAAGAAACTTTCAAAATTTTATTTTGTTATATTAATATACAATACAAAGTTTGAGTATATATTTTCTTTGTACAAAATTATTTGTCCAATTGCAATTTCATCATTTACCGTTAGCACTCAACCAACATCAACATTTGAACTATAATGAAATAAATAAAAATCAGAGGGATTTCCCTGAGATTGAAACCTCATGTCATCCTATGACATGAGTCCTAATGTGGGTCCCTACGGTATTTGACCCGTTCGCAAAATTACCGATTCATATCCTCTCTAATCATGTTGGTATATCCCTCCGTATCAACTTGAACCCATTGCTTACCCCGCACCCCGTAATGTTTGAGTCGATGAGACTTTTGACTCAAAATTTTGGGCCAAATAGTGTGGGGAGGTAGGTTTGGGTCAGGATGGGGTGGTTTAATTTACTAAAAGTTAGTATAGGAATCCTCAATTTCACGAATGAGTCTTTAGATCATTGAATCACATTGCTAAGCAATGTTAAGAGAATCACTCTCGATGAAAATTACATGGTAATATTTGGAAAATATTTTACATGATAAATTTAATAAAATTATTTTTGGTGGGATATAGATAAACAAAAAAGGGAGTGATCATTATTATACTATACCATTGGTCGACGGCTTTATGTTTATGGTCTTCTTCAAAAGGAGGAGACGATTCCGAGCGGCCGCAGCTTCTGTCGTCCGTTTTGTCGATGGACTCTACTTTAGGAGGATCCATACAAAACAAGAAATCAATTTAACTAACTAACAAAACGCAATGATATTATTTTTAAGGAGGAAGAGAAAATATAAATATAGAGAAAAAGAGAGGCCATTTGATTGAATGCTGGAGGGGATCTCTTGCATTTAAAAATAAAATAAAATACTCCGTACTCGGTATTAAATGATGAATCTTTCAGTCAATATATTTCATGGTATATATAGTTCAGAGGAGATATTCGTTTTCAAATGCACAAAATATTCCAACCGAAATATAATGATTTGTTTACTATTATTTGGAATGTGCATGCTAATTTACCAATTTTAGACTATTCTTTCAAGGCCTTATCTGGAAACAATTATTTTTTTCAATGTTAGCATTTTAGATAAAATTTTAGTAGTTATAAGTTACCGTTAGAAATTTTTTCAAAATGTTAATGCTAATCTAATGTCCAGCGCGGATCCCAAATGTCTCTCGTATTCATCATATTGTGTTCTAGAGTATTCTTTTTATATAAGAATAAATTAAGCAAATGACTACTCTACCTTTGCATTGGATTTATTTTCTAAAGAGCTGTAGCTGACATGTGAGAATAGCGCACGATGAAAAGTGTCACACACCATGTCTCCCGTTACGACGCCTGATATTGGCCGCGGTTATAATTTCTTCAATTTGACCAGTCCGCTGCCATCATATTAAAGAGCACGACTAGTTTTGGAGTCCTTCAATTTCACCGCTCATCAGTCCTTCAATCCATCATACGGTTGTTTCTTTTTGTTTTATTTATTTGTGTGTATTCGCCCGTTAATTAGGTCTAGCATTATAAGTTAATGTTAGTGTTTTGAAAAAAATTATCTAACTGTACCTGTAACGTTTTTATAATTACGGAATACATCATGGGTGGTTTGTAGGGTGTGCAAAGTAACCAACCGCATAGAGCCCTTAAAATTTTAGGTCCCCATATTTTTAAATTTATAATTAATTTTTGAAATAAAAGTATTCTAAAATAATAAAATAGGGTCCAAAATATAAATTTCGGCTCGGGCCAATTTCATTTTTTTTCGAGGCCGACACTGGAATACATTATGCCATTAAAATTTTATCCAAAACACTAACGTTAATCAAAAATAATGTTCTTAAACAAGACCATTATATGTTTTTGGTAAGAGATGCTTTGGATACAATCTCTAAAGGAAGTCGTGACGGCTCAAGGCATTGACAAGGTGCGGTGGTCGCCTAGCCCGGACCTAGAATAAACTGAGTTAGAACTTTTTTATAAGTAATTTACTTAAATAGGACTAAAACATAATGACTTTCTTAATATAGCAACATATGTTTTTATTTCCCAATGTAAGACCATTGGTCATTATCTTTTAGTCATTATTTAACTAAATGTCCAGCATCACTTGAACATTATTCTTCTCACTAGTCATTAACAAGTCCTATTTAGGGAATAAAAAAGTTTAAGTCCTACATGGGGAAAATCACTTATGTTGGACTTAAACTTTTTTATTTTCTAATTATGACTTGATAATGACTAGTAGAAAAATAATGTTCAAGTGATGCTGGACATTTAGTTGAATAATGACTAATAGATAATGACCAATGGTACGTCTTACATTGGAAAATAAAAACATATGGTCTTATATTAAGAAAGACATTATGTTTGAGTCTTTTTTAAGTAAATTACCCATAAAAAAGATGAAATTTCTTTTTTATTTTAGTTCCTCTCTTCAAGAGAATCGGAGGGATTAACTAGTAAAGTTACGTTGTGGCTCTGAGAGTCTGAGATTATAGTTTTTCCAGTTAATCGAAGGGAATTGTTTGTGAATAGCCACGCAAAGTGATGGAATTATTCGAATGGCAAAGAATTTCAATTAATATGGATAGATACACAGAGCTGAGACATGTACGAAGTATAAATTAATTTTTCCATCCTATCCCATCAAAACAAACACCATTTATTACGTGCAAACCAAACTACCAGACTTGAAATAAATATGAAAAAAAATCATACATATATCCTAAAATTTGGTTGATTATATAATAGGAGTATTGTTTTTAAATCCTCTTTTGCACGTCAATTCTTGAAAAGTAATTGGATTTCACATTGCTACTCAGTTTGATTCAATCGGGTTCAGACTTAATTATATGAAAGTATTTTGGTTGATATGACATCAATTTAATTCTATTACAAGTTTAAAATCAGATCATAAACGGTTTTATTTATAACTAGATTCGGATCAAATCAAACTATATCATATCAAAATTTATTCTAATTCGATTAATACCAAAGCAGAAAGAACTTTAAATTTAAGTAGATTTAGATTACATTAAATTGTATCAGACCAGATCAAAACCATTCAGATCATGTAAAAAAAAATATGGCCTTAATCATCTAAGAATAAAAGGAAATAATTTGGAAGTTTGTTTGTCATCGAAAAAAAGATGTGATATTATGTGTGTGGCATTACCTCCGATCCGTCTCCCAAAATATTTCAATTTTGATTTTTTACAATCAACCAAGATCAAGCTTTAACCTATAATTAAGTACTACCTCCGTTTATCAAAATAGTTCCTCTTTTGACTTTGGGGGAAAATAAAGAAGTGTTAAATTGTAGTTGACTTTCCAATTTTGCCCTTGATGTGATGGGTAAAAGTAAGATGTGATAGTTTAGTTGTTAGTGAAAAAGTATGATGTGATAGGTATGGTATGAAAAAGTAGGGATAAAAGTGATTTTTTAATAGAAAGGAGAAGTGTTTTAAGAAAAACAAAAAAAAAATGAAAGAGGGAGAGTTTTAAGAAACGGAGAGAGTATAAATTACATGGTAGTTCAATTAACTAGATAAAACGTAACAATGCCTTGAAATATTTTACATATAAGTCATTTGAAATTATTTTTATATGATTATCTAATATAAATTTTATTTAATTGATGATCAAAACTTATAAATTTTGATTACAAAAAGTTAAAACTAATCAAATACTAGGAGGCCAAAATGTAGTATGAGTAATGACTAATGAGCTAGTACAATACTCCTATTTAATTGGTGCTTAGGTACCCACAATAAATACACAGCATGCATGCCGACGTGCAACGAAAACGAGGAGACGGGGCATGTGTTAAGAGCAGTAGGAGCGGCGAGTTTTCTGTGTGCCACGCCCTGCCATGTAATACTTTGACTTGCTTGCCGTGGAATGGAAGGAGAATTCCACCCTAATTAGCGTGGCTTGTGCGAGGCATATTTGTTGCTTTTCTTTTTATTTTTTTGAAGAAAGCCAGTAGGCGCTATTGATAAAATTAAAGGATATGGAGTATCAAAATGGCAAAATAAGACTTCATGTCATGCCACTCAAGACTGCACTATTGTTTTAAAAATAAAATATTTTTTTCTAAGACATTTAAATTAATAAAATAGATAACACTTTAAAAAATTATGCAGATAACAACGTTTTTAAAATTTTTTTAATAAGGAAAAAGATGATTTTTTTAATAAAGAAAAAGAATGCTCTTTTATTGTAAAGGTTATAGAAGTATTTTTTATCAAATAAATAATTAAAGTAAATTTTAATAATTAAATGACTAAAAATATATAATAAGTGACAAAAACAATGACTTGCCACTGCAGAACATGACATTCAATTTGGATCAGGGCGTTCACAAAGGATGACTAAAAATATATAATAAGTGACAAAAACAATGACTTGCCACTACGGAGTAACCTTTATTTGAGACTAAAAAATATTCATTTTTAAACATTAATGTTTTATGTGAAATTCTATAATATAATTTACAAAATTAATTTTCTCTTTGTACAATTAAAATCATTACAAGAAAATGCAATAATTTATAATAAAAAAACATACATGGACTAATTAAAATATGTCAAAATGTTAACATTGCCAAAAAAAGATTGCAATTATTTTTATTTAAAAAGGTAAGTAAATTACGGAGTAATTTTTAATAATTAAAATATATTAAAAAGGTGTAAAAATGATAAAAAGAGTGACTTGCCACTGCAAGACATGCCACTCCACTCATGTTCCACACGCTGACTGGACTTGTTTTGATTGGCTAAAATACTCCACGTCATCGTGTGGCATCCAATTTCTTACTTACCATTGCCCATGCTCTAAATCACCCAAATACCTTCACACTTTATTTGCTACTCTTTGGATTGGAAATGTTCTTCAATGATATACTTTGATCATTCTATATTTATAATAGAGATATTTTATAAAAATTTGATATATCAAAATTACGTTTCGTTAGGAATATATAGAAATTAAATTTATAGCATAATACGATGTATTCTTCTCATAAATTGAAGTTAAAGACTACAAACTTTGACCAAGAAAAAAAATCAAATGTGAATAATATTTCCAGACAGAGGGAGTATGATTCTATGAAATTGAAATGGATGAAATTAATTTTAATTCAATTCTTATTACTTTTTTATGTATAACTAAGAAACTAATACTCTCTCCGTCTCTTAAAGTTCTTTCCTTATTAACTTTTTGAAAATTTAAGAGAGAAATATTTTTGTGTTAGCTTTCCAAAAATATTATTGATATGATAAGTAAAAGTAGGATGAGATGAATATATTATTAGTAAAAAAGTATGATGTGATGGGTAGGGTAAGAATCAGTAGGGATAAAACTGGTTTTTTAATTGAAAAAGGAAGAAGTTTGCGGGACAATGGAAAAAAGAAAGGAGAAAGAGTTTAAGGGACGGAGGAAGTATATAATTGTATTATATTTTCAGATCCTTTATTTTGTAACAAAAAATTATACTCCATCCGTCCCAAAAAGATTTACATGTTTTGATAAAGTTGAAATTAAAGGAGAGATAATTTTTTGTTGATTTTCCAAAAATACCCTTGATGTGATGGGTAAAAGTAGGATGCGATGTGTAGATTATTAGAAAAAAGGTATGATGTGATAGCTTACGTTTGAAAAAGTAAGTGGTAAAAGTGGTTTTTTAAAAGAAATGGTTAGGAGATTGTGTGACGCAATTTTTTTGAAACATGTAAATCTTTTTGGGAAGGATGGAGTGTATAAAAGACATGTTTGAAATAACTTTACTACGTCAGAGATTAGCATCAGCGTTTTGAAAAAATTATCTACTGAAAGCGTTTAGTATTAACATTTTAAAAAATACCTACACCATTAAAATTTTACTCCTATCAAAAATGCAAATGCTATCTTCAAACATGTCCAAAACTGATATAGAATTATATATTGGAATTTCAGCTCTTGATCGTTGGTTATTTGTGTCAGCAGTTTGAATTTTGAAACGATTGATGAGTTTAGCTGATTTCAACGACAATATATGTTGACAAAATTTTTAATTTTTAATTCTTCAGTCTTATATATATGTCAATTTTTTTGAACCAAAATGCATCTTCTTTATTAACCAACCAACAAGAGTTACACAAAAAACCTTCAAATCACCTCTCCTACACAATTTTTGTTATCTACAGTTACTCTTATACCCTATCTACGGTTCAAGTGACATTGCCGGGCAATGTCACTTGAACCTTGCCCTAACATTAGATACCTCATCTTCCACGGTGTGTATCTTATTACGCATTTCCAAAATATGTTAAATTTTACGGAGTAATATTTTAATTTATAAAAATTTCTCATTTATAATTTTAAATTCTAATGTGAAATTTTAAGTTTAAATATTTTAAGCTCAAATTTTGAAATTTATAATTTTAATTTATAATTTAAATTTCGAATTTTTTATATTTCAAATTCGATTTTTTATTTTAAATTTTCTAATTATAAATTTTGAATATTAAATTCTAAATTCTAAATTCTAAATTTAAAAATTCAAATTTTTAATCATTAATTTGAGATTTTAATTTTATAAATCAATTCTTAGTTCTAATTTTAAGTCTTTAATTTAAGTTTTCCATTTTAAATTTTAAAGTCAAAAGTTCAAATTTCAAAAATTTTTAGTTTGGAATTATTTATTTTTATTTTTCCTTTTTTACTTCTTGAATTTTAATTTCTCTAACACAATATTTAAATTTTATATTTTCAATTTTATTTGTATATCAAATCTAAAATTTTAAATAAAATTTGAATTTTTTTATTTTAATATTTTTTGCTTTATAATTTTTAATTTTTAATTTTTAATTTTTAGTTTTAAAGTTTTAATATTATAAGTTTAATATTTTTAATTTTTTTATTTTAATTTTTAATTTTTTAATTATTTATTTTTAACTTTTATCTTATCAATTTTAAATTCCAATTTTTATTTTTTAAATTTTAAATGTATATTTTAAATTTTAAAGTATAAATTGAAAATTCATTTTTTTCAAAACTTATTTGGAAAGTAAGCATCAATATCCTCCTATTTGGAAAATATGCATTAACTTTCTCACAGTTTTCATTTTTTGTAAAGCTCATGTGATTTGAAAATGTTAAACAGACACTTCCTTTGATTTTTTTCTGGTCATTTTTCTGTCGAAAAGAGAGGGCCTTGGTGCCTATTTTTCAAATCATATGGGGTTACCTTAGCTTGTTTCTCATTTTCCATTTGTTTTTTGTTTTTTCTTTTTAGTCTCAAATTTTTCTTTTATCTATAATGGCTTTTTTTTAATTTTGAAAATGTTATTGCTACTAATGTTTAAAATATGAAGTATCTTAGAAATTTTTATTTTTTTGAAATGCTAAAATTAAAGTAAAATCTTATAGAAAGCACGATTTAAAAATAAAATTAAAATATTATCAATAAGATATCCTCTGTATTTTCATTACATGAAAAAAATTGAATTATGTGTTAAATACAAAGTTAATCAAGCATTAAATAAATTACGAATCAATTTAGAAAGCATATAGGAATGTGACATTTACACCAGAAACAGAAGTAGAACGCCACATATACGCTTACCGGCCAGATTATTGAAATTCCGACGTCGGGTAACTTTTTGTTACATTTTTTAAAGATGTGATACCTTTTCGTTAAAAGTTGAAGATGAGGTACCTCCAAAAAAAACCCAAAATTTTTAGAATATTAGTGTAAAATTTTTCCTTTTTAAAACATGAAATCTAAGCATCCACATGAGTCCATCCTCATCCCAAAATACTCCGGGCTAGTAATACTCCGTATATTTAACACACACACACACACACACACACACACAAACACCACCCGCTCCCCCGCCGCCGCTAGAACTCTAGAAGCGCACCGGCAAGTTGCGCTTTTTTTTCTGATCCGAAAATTAGATCGTCTCCTCTGATTTGGAATCCACCCCATGCGCGCTCTCGAACCCTAAGCCCTTCCCACTCTCTCCTTTCCGCAATGGACAAACTCCCATATCCTTCCTACATTTAACCATTTCTTTCTCACATATATTATCCTCCGCCAGTTTTCTGCGCCATCATATTTGCGGCTTCGATCCGCTCTGGTTTTCCACGCCCCGCTGCGGCCGCGGGATCGCGATTCCCACCGATTTTCGTGAAGCAATTGGTGAGCTTTTCAATTCTCTCCCTTTTTTTCATAAATTGTTTTCCGTGCCTATTCAATCGGAGTTTTGAATCTTCAATGTTATCCGATCCGGATGACCGGATCTGTGTGTATTTTTGCATCGATTGATGAAATTCATAGAGACTGGTTTCATTTCTCCGTCGTCTTCCCTCCTCCGCCTTTGGAAATTCAGTTTTTTTTTATTTATAGAAAATCATTGATGAACATGCAGTGAGTGTTATTAATATTAAGTAGATCGTCTTTTTTGACTTTCCCTGGATATAAAATTTAATTTTTTGATCGACGATGATATTTATTGACCACTTACCATGCTTGATTGATTAATTGCAAAAGTCATTTTCTCAAAATCAGAAACCGGAACTTCACTGAATATGTTGCATCATTTATTTTATTGCTCGATAAATGTGTTGTTATAGTAAGAGTAAGCAATGTGAATTGCTTTGATCCGATTTGAATAAATCTTGATTTGATTTGATTATATTGAAAATTATTTGTGATCTGATCTCGTTTGATTCGATTCGGACGGAGGAGTATATTCTTTTCTGTTTAATTAATGCGTCCATATGGGATCTGTATTTAATTGCGGAGTAATTGCTTTTTAGGGTTCCTCCCTCCGTGAGCCGCCGGGAAATTAATCCAGAGATCGGGGTGATTGAAGGACGAAATGTCGTCGGCGAGCTCGCCCTGTGCGGCCTGCAAGATGCAGCGGCGGAAGTGCACACAGGACTGCGTGTTTGCGCCGTATTTCCCGCCGGACCAGCCCCAGAAATTCGCCAACATCCACAAGGTGTTCGGCGCGAGTAATGTCTCGAAATTGCTCAACGAGCTCAACGCCGGCCAGCGGGAGGACGCCGTGAACTCGCTCGCATATGAGGCGGAGTACCGGCTGCGAGATCCGGTGTACGGCTGCGTGGGGCTCATCTCCGTTCTCCAGCAGAAACTGAAACAGGTCCAGCGAGATCTGAACGCCGCCAAGAGGGAGTTGGCCTCTTACATCGGACCCACTGCTCTGGCACCACTATTTCCGGCCGGTGGATTCGTGCAGAACAACAACCCCAACCACCCGTCTCCATCTGGCATTCCTTATTCCAATTTTCAGCAGCAGTTGATAATTCAAGATCCCCATCCTCCGCCACCGCCTCCTCCGCCGCCGCAACAGCAGCAGTTTCTAGAGCCCCATCACTTGATGGTGATGGGGGAGCCGGCGGCCGAGATGTTCAGGGCATACGAGCAACAGCAAATGCAGCCGCTCGATCTGATGTCGTTTAACAATATCGGATTTGAACCCTTGAACGGAGGCGGGCCCGTTACTGCCACCGGGTATCATCAAGCCAGTCCGGCGCCGCCGCCGCCCCCATCATTGGGATTAGGAGCATACCATCACAACACTTGCTACCCGGTCCAACAGAACCAACCCAATCCTCATGACCATGACCAGATTATCCAGCTCCAGCCACACCACCTGATGCTCCAGCAAGAACAGCCCCCGCCGCCGCCCCAGCCGCAGCAGAGTCAACCGCAGCTGCAACCGGAGACCAAAAGCGAGGAGGAGGCAGGCCGCCATTCATGTTAATATCTCTTGCCAAGGTAAAAAAAAAGTACACTTTTTTTTACCCCCCAAAAGAAATCATGATTTTTTCTGTATTCTTAGGGTGTGGGTCAAAATCCATAATGTTGAAAGCGAGTGGCGAATGATTATTTTTTTTTTCTTCCTTCCTTCCAACGCTCACTTCATGGCCTGCATTAATGTTCTTCTACGAGTATGTAATTTAAGTTGACATTGGGGATGAAAGGGGTGAATCTCAGATTCTATTTCATGAAAGTGGCAAAAAGAAAAAGAGCATTTAATTTACTGAACCGTATGTTGGGGTGGTTTTAAAGAGAATTTGTCTTTTCACTGCCCGGATATGTCACATTCAGTAATCATAACCTATAGCTCCCTATTCTTTCATAGCCCTTCAGATATTGACCTTTTGGACATGTCATAGCCTGCCTTTGTGGCTATTCATTTTTACCTAGCCTCCTCCTGCATGTATGGTCAAAATCTCTACACTTTTGCCCCCCCTTGATTTCCCCTCCAACTTGAAAACCCACAGAAAGATACAGAAACACTTTGCAGAAAGAGCTCTTTTTTTCCCTGAGATACGCAATAAACAACAAAGTGAACGCACATTTTACTCCATCTGGACCATGTGTTATGATAAGATCTTGATGATATGTAAAAGGGGTGTTAGAAGGGAAGGGGCTTCCAAACCACACTACAAACTCACCCCTTTTCATGTGAAAAGAATGCCAAATTACAAATCATGTCAAAAGTCAAAACTTTGCTATAAAGATATGACCTTTAAAATATTTTTTTCGTCCCCAATTTTATTAAGTATTTGATAAAATAAAATATTCTTGTCATTTCTTGTTTTACAAAACTTTTAACGTAGTTTTTTTAATATGTAATTTTTATTTCTTATCAATATACCGATTTGTAAATAAAATTATTTCATAACGTTAAATATTTTTCTTCGTAAACCCCAATTTGTAATCAAATTGAGGACGGATGGAGAATTTAGGAGTAATAATAAATTTATTACACATCATTTATTATGCATAAATACCACAAACCCTTCCCTTTGCCATTTTATTCACCAAACCTTCCACCATTTTTATTCATTCAAACCTTTACCATTTTTATTTACCCAAACCCTCAATGGTTGACATTTTAATTTTATTGGAATTGTACGGAGTAATTTTTTTTAATTTTTATGGAATTTTACTTTTAATTTGATTTAATTATTTATGAGTAATTGGTTTTAAATAAAAAAAAGAAGTTCTAGGGTAGTTGTGGTTAAGTGTTGGCAATGATTCTATAGTTTATGGGTAATGAAGGGTAGAAAGGAGATTGCGGTGCAGGATTGACCGGTACATGGGTAGTACCTTTGAGTGCGCGTTTCCTTCTAAGTTCTTATATGGAGTGATAGAAATATGTGTGAAATTATTTTTCTCAATTCCAATTCCATAGTTTGAATATTGTGTTAAATGGAGCCTAAAACTCTTTTCATTACATATTTTCATCTACCACTTCATAAAATCATATATGCATCTTACCTCAACTCTTTTGTAATATTTTTAAAATTTGGTATAATTTTTGAATATATAATTTTTTACTCCCTCCGTCCCATAAAGTGTTACCCATTTTGATTAAAGTAGAAATTAAGGGAGGGATAATTTTGTGTTGACTTTCCAAAAATACCCTTGATGTGATAGGTAAAAGTAGGATGTGATGTGTAGATTATTAGGAAAAAGGTATGATGTGATAAGTAGGATTTGAAAAAGTAAGAGGTAAAAGTGGTTTTTTAATAGAAATGAGTAGGAAATTGTGGGGCACAATTTTTTTGAAAGGTGTAAATCTTTTTGGGACGAAGGAAGTATAAATTTTCACTAAGATTTAGCTACGATCAAATAAAAATAGACTAGTTATACGTTGCTAATACACTCCATTCTTTTTTTAACTATTCATTTAACTTTTAGTATTAATTATTTAACCAATAATGTCTCTTCAAATATTATGAAAAAAGAATAACATATTTTTCAATACAAGTGTTTTAATTAATTGTAAGTGTATACTTTTACATATTCCCTCCGTCCCTTAAAAAGAATTTATGATGAAAGAGATATTTTTGTATTGACTTTCTAAAGTACTCTTAATGTGATGAGTAAAAGTATGATGTGATAGGAGATTATTAGTAAAAAGCTAAGTTTTAATGTGATAGAAAAGGATACGAATTAATAAGAGTAAAAGTGCGATAGATTTTTAATAGAATAGGAAAGGAGTGTGTGAGACAAGAAAAAGGAAGGAGAAAGAGTTTAAGGAAGGGAGGGGAGTAAATATAACTAGCTAAAGTGTACAAAATGTAAATCCTATCTGAGCCGCTAAAATATTATGGAGGGAGTATATGAGGCCATGAGGGTGTTAGGAATTGTGGTGAGCAATGGAAAAGTAGAAGTTAAAAGTTAGAAGCGATAAGCAATTATTTTTAGCTTTGCTAGAAAAAACTTCTAGACCTTAATTTCTACTTCTTAAGCCATAATTCATACTTCCTCCGTCCCTGAAAACCTTTCTCCTTTCTTTTTTCATTCGTCCCAAAAAACACTTCTCATTTCTATTAAAAAGTCACTTTTACCCCTTACTTTTTCATATCCTACCTATCACATCATACCTTTTTACTAATAATCTATCCATCAAATCATACTTTTACCCATCACATCAAAGGACATTTTTGAAAATTCAATACCAAAATACACTCTCCTTAAATCCTTCTTCAAAATCAAAATTCCCATGTTTTTCGGGACGGATGGAGTAAGTTATAGATTGTCAAACATTTAACATTGTGTTTTAATAAAGTATAAGCTGTAAATTATTTTTAAATGTATTCTCAAACACCCTCTATGTAGGAAACTTATAAGAACACAAGCCGTGGTGTAGCGTCTAACATATTGAGAGTATGTGAAATAGGGAAATCAGTTATACGAATACTAACCGCTAACACTAAATCATCAACGACCTCGTTTGGCATCAGCGTTAGTTAGAGATTAACGTTAGAGTTTTGAAAAGGTTATATTATCTGACAATAGATTTTAGCGTTAGCGTTTTCAGAATTAATCTACATCATTAAATTTTTTAACTAAAATGCTAACACTAATCGAAATCGGTATTCCAAAACAAGGCCAACATTATGTAAACGGAAGCCTTTTTAGTATTAATATGTAGATTATTCAGCATACTCCCTTCTTCCTATTAAACCTTCTTACTTTAATTTTTACCGTATTTAGAAAGAAGTATTGAAATATGAAAAAATTGCGGTTAGTAAGTCAAAACAGAAGAAAAATTTCTTAAGTACAAATTACATGAGGGAGGAAGCATTCCTGTGTTTCTAAAAGTCTTTTTCTGATCCTTCCTTTTTTTTTCTGTCTTCAAATTACTGTTATTAATTTTTATCCTACATACCGCGTCAAATATATTCATTACTAATCTAGCTATTGAAACCTATTTTTACCAATCAAATCAAGATATTTATGAAAAGTCAACACAAAATATTCATTCATTTTTTAAATTTCATAATAAATTTCAAAATAGGTTCTGCAATTACGAAGTGCATAGTTCAGTTTTCATCACGAATATATGATTAAAACTGAATTTACCGTTTCTAAAATGACTGTCTAATCGATTTTGAGATGCCGCGCTGGACAAGATAAGAGAACTCGCCATTATTGATCACAAACTATTGGGGTTGACAATCTCTTTTTGTCTCCCTTTCACTGAATCCCCCGTATTCAATTACTATTAAAACACGTGCGGGGTGTCTTTGCATGAAACCTAAGTTCGATCATTGATTACTATTGTTGTCTAGCTACGTACGTAAATGAACTCACAAAGAATATAATCAAAGTTCATGAGCAAAAAAAAAAACAAAAAGAATTTAATTCTCCTAAAATATGCGTTTTTTCCCCAAGACCCAAGAGTCAATTTATAAGATATGCGTATATCTATATTTTTCAAAACAAAAAGGAAAAAAAAATCACATTCCGGATTTTTTGGTTTTAACTTGAATCAAAGAAAATCTGGTCCAATTTGTTCTACACCTGATGGATATTTGGACCGCTGAACAGGCCTTGTGCGACTCAATTACAATTCTGAGTCCCAACATGAATAAAGCCCAGTACCAGATCGTGAAGGGAGATCGAACGCTCAAGGGTCTGATGAAGTAATGGATCAAAGGTTGGCCCACATCGATAGATTAGGCCCGGTACAAAGAGAAGACGTGATTCCCCAAATTGTGGGATTGCGGGAAAATTGATGACTGATTCTCGGCCATGATTGATGCATGATGAATGGATTGCCGATAATGTAGCGCACAAAATTATTAATATTAGGTAGTATCATTAATGATGATGATTATTATTATTAATTATACTTATAATTAAAATAATAATTATTGTTAAAGTCTATCATTATTATTAACAATTATTATTATTATTATATTTAAAAATAAACTTTATTATTAATTGTTATTGTTATTAGTTATTATTAGTTAATAATAATGATTATTGTCATTTTAATCATTATTGTTATTATTAATTACCATTACTGTTATTATTAAGTACGATGATAATAAATTATTATTGTTATTCATTATTATTATTAATTAACAATGATAATAATAATAGTTACTATTGTTATTATTGTAACTTTTATTATTATTCTTATGTTACAATTATTTATTTTTTTAATAATTTTCTGATCTGATCAGAATGGATCTGATCTAAACTGATTTGAATGATTCTGATTAGATGTAATCTGAATGAATCTGATCTGATCTGTTCAGATAAAAATAAGCAATAAGTAGCAAAAATAAATTAAAGAAAACGGGGCCTTAGACATATAAGATGGGTGTGCAAAAATGAAACATGCTAGTGCACACCATAAGGCTGACACTATTTTGACCATAACCATTACACGGACACACACAGGATAGTTGGGGTCAAAATAGTGCCACCATTTTGAGGTCTCCCTATCACAATTGGTGCAAAAATTAGTTTTTCCCACTTCCGTTTATTACTCATTTCATATGATATCTTTTTTTAATTTCACTTTTCACAATCTCTTATGAAATAATTTGATCATCAATATACCTATTTGTTTATAGATATATTTCTGTCCTAAAAATCCTATCTTATTTACTATTCAGGGTTCTCTCGATAATTTTAGTTTTTTGGAATTTAGTTTGTTCATGTGTTTTCATTGACCTTTTGATAAAATAACTTTTTTTTGTCACGTATTCTTTTTTGGAACTTGGTGTAGTTATGAACAGTATATAAGTGTGCTTTTGTCCCTGGTCTCTTGACATTCTGGATCCAAGTAGTAAGTGTGATTAAGGAGAAATAAATATAGAAAGCGTTTGGAGGAAGTGATTAGACATGATTTTCTACTTCATATTCTTAGTAAGAATATATGACCAGAATGTTTTAAAGAGATACTCCCTCCGTCCCAAAAATCTTGTCTCGTTATCGAACAATGTGCAAAAAATTGATCATCTTTTTAGATTTATTTTATTTACAAAATAGTTTAGAAATAAAAAGTATATATATCAAAACTACATAAAAAATTCTATAAAATAAATGTGACAAGAATATTTTTTTATCAAATACTACCTCCGTCCTAGGAATATTTGTCCACTTTCATTTTTACACACCATCCAATACACTTCTTTAATCCATTTTATCTTGTAATTTATATATTAAAAAATTATAGAAATTATATATTAATAATCTATATGTTAAGACAAATCAAACAAGATCACACATGACTATATTTAGGCTTACACATTGAGAGAATTTGATGAGTCAAAGTGCTTAGATGAACAGTTCCAAAAGTCAAAATTGGACGAATACTCCGGGACGGAGGGAGTAATATATAAAAACACACAAACAAATATAGATTATCAAAGGGGTGTTAGTGTGTTACTAAATCCACCTCTAAAAAGGTTATATCCACACATTTTGCCAAATTTTGCTAAATCCACACAAACATCAAATTTATATTAATATGTGTGAATTTAGTAAATTAAACTTGTCAAAACGTGTGGGTTTAAACATTTAGGGATCAAAGAGCAATTGACAACATCCTTATCGAAAGACAATATATAATAGTAATCGAGACAAAATTTTTTAGGCGGAGGGAGTAGAACTATACTTTTTAGCCTTAATTAGTTTGTAGCGGTTGTTATGTCATGTTGTCTATGTTTGTAGGTCCCGTTTGACATGATGTTAGCGTTTCGAACAATGATATCAAACGATAACCTGATTCAAAAACTAATACTCCGTACTAATCGAAAATGTTGTTTCCCAAACAAAGTTTGTACGTGTGCTCTCTCTGATTTCCATGTGTGCTTTATTTTTTTCTAGGGATGGTGCAAAGCCATTTGATTCCTTATGATGAATGGTCATTCTATTCTGGTTCACACACCCCGTGCACCATGATTAGCGCATTTTGTGGTGACACCAAACTGTGATTTTGTGGGGCTGGTAATTAATTAGCATGTACCATAATTAGAGAGACGTTTATAATGATATGCTTCGTGTTACAAGTCCATATACACTAGTATTAAAATAAATGTTATTTTGACCTTAAATCTGTTACAACAAGGTTCACACTACTAATTGTCTCATAGAAATTATATATGAACAATCATTATTTGTTTTGTCAGTAAGACACAAATCAAGTTGTCAACGTTGGTATTATCTCTAATCTTTTAGAAAAAATTAAAAAATGTTTGGCTGATATAATTTTGTAAAATGAGAGCCTTAATGCCAACATACTCTCTAAAAATTAGAAGCAAAAGAGCAAAACATTTGGATTCACAGACTCATTCGTGTCTTGCTCCTCTGGCATTAATCCAATGACTGCAACAAAGAAAAACAAAGGGAGAGAATTTGAAACAATTAAGCAAAAGGGGGAGAGGAAACAAAAGCTATCATTTTTCTCTTCTTTTTCTTTTTCTTTTCTCTCTTCATTCTCCTCTCCCCTTCCATCCCCTCCCTGATCAGTTCCTGAAAAAGAAACAAAATCTTGGTTTCTTTCCATTGAAGAATTCAAGAGATTGAAAAAAAACAGAACAAAAAATGGCGGATTCGACGTCCCCATCAGAGGATTTTGCATGCGGGAAGGAATTGTTCAACCCAGTCTTAACAATGGGGATGCAGTATTCATGCATTCTTGTCATCTCTCATTTCCTTCAGATTCTTCTCAAGCCCCTTGGCCAGGCTGCCCCCATCGTTCAAATCCTCGTAAGTACGTCCGTTAACCATATTGATTTCTTCAATCTTGTCGTTATAGGCCCAGGAAAGGTTTTTTTATATTCTAACCGTTATAAAAACAGGCTGGATTCCTATTAGGTCCGTCCGGATTGTCACACATCCCGGCGGTGAACAGTTTCTTCCTGCAGAATTTCGCGGCGGATTACTATGAATTCATGGCGGTCCTCTTCAGGATCATAATCATGTTCCTAATTGGCCTGGAAATGGACTTCCCCTACTTCCTCCGCAAGCTCCGGCCAGCCAGCATCATAGCATGCGGTTCATGCTTGGTGTGCACTTTCTTCGCCGCCGCGATAACATCGTTCGTGTACCAAGAGACGTCGTCCCACGGCTCCGGGTTCATGATGGGGTTGATGATCACCATCATCCTGGCCAGCACCGCCTCCCCCGTGGTGGTCCGTCTGGCGGTCGATTTGAAATTCGCGACTTCGGACATCGGACGCATGGCCATCTCTTCCTCCTTGATCAACGACGCCTACGGCGTGGTGTTGCTGTTCGTGATCTCCAAGACGAGGCAGCACTATTCCTACACGGCGTGGGTTTTCCTCGGCCTGCTCTACCTCTTTGTGGTGGCGGTCGTGGTGGTGGTCAACATGTACGTCGCGAACTGGATGAACCGGCGGAACAGGAACCAGAAGTACCTTAAGAACGCCGAAATGTTCGGGCTTCTGGCTATTCTGTACATCGTCGCCATGTCTCTTGAGCTCATGGGATTCAGCAGCTTGATATTTTCCTTCCTCATCGGGTCGATGTTCCCGCGCGGGGGGAGAGCGGCCCGGACATTGTTGACCAAACTCACGTATCCGGTTCACAACTTCATACTCCCGATTTATTTCGGGTACTTCGGGTTCAAGGCGGATGTGGCATTCATCAACAGCCTACGGAATTTCTGCATCGTGTTTTTCGTGATGCTGCTGAGTTTTGGAGGCAAGATTGTTGGCACTTTGGCTGCTTGCTATCACCTCAAGATTCCCTACTATGAAGGAGTGCTCATGGCTTTCCTAATGAACCTGAAAGGCCATGTTGACTTGCTGGCTTTAACTATTGGGTCAACAAACAGAGTGAGTGGAAAATCACCCATATATATACTTGCAATCCGTCAATCTTTATTTTGTTTATTTGGTGACTTGATGATGCATATATGCAGATCATACTGAGTGACACATTCTTCAGCTTGATGATATCAGCAGTGGTGTTGAACTCATTGATATGGGGACCCATCATAGCTTTGATGGTGAGAAGAGAGCAAGACATCATCGGATACCGGCAAATATATTTCGAGACTCAGAGTCCGGAAT